TCTATCTATCTATCTATCTATCTATCTATCTATCTATCTATCTATCTATCTATCTATCTATCTATCTATCTTAGTTATATATTGGGCTGTTTAAAATGTTCTTTCTGATAGAGAGGATGGAAGCAAGTTCCCAACAACAGTCTTTCTTTCTAGCCAATGAGGAGGGTCAAACTGGTTTCTCCCTTGCCCTGATGACTTCCATGGGGCAGGAGAACCCCTTTGTTTGGTTCTGCACTGGCTCTTGGTCCCAAGGGGAACGGTGCCAACTTTACAAACTTTTCTGAGTGCAAAGAGCTATTTAAAGAGTTAGCAGGGCATGCTGGTTAATGACTAGAATGGGGAGATATGGGTCTGGGGTCCCCCACAGCCACAGAGGAGCTCAGTCGCTGACTTTAGGCCAATCTCTCTTGTGTAGCCCAGCCCACCTCACAGGGTGGTTGTTGTCGGGGAAAAAACGGAGGATGGAGGCTCTGGAAGAAAGACCGGATGACATTAAATGCTCAGCACTTGAATACCCCCATTCTTTATTTTTGTCTACAGTGACGAGACAGATCATTTGATTGCTTCCTGACTGGCATATGTTATACCTTGTCCTAGAAACATATCTAACGAGGGGTAATATGAAAAGATGTCAGGTTTTTTCCCCTCCCACTAATTAATTAGGGACTAAGCGCGGGAAGACATGTGGAATGAAGGAAAACCCAACACCCTTCCTGCATTAGTGGAGCTGATTAATTAGGCTGGCCTGATTAGAAGTGTCAAAAGTTAGTTACGTTATGTCAGGCAGAATGGCCATCCGGCTGCCTCGCTTCAGCGTCCGGGCAGAAGGCGTTTTGCCAAAGCAGTGTCAACAGAAGTGGGGGAGTATCGCGCCTGCAATCAAGAGATACGAGTTGCCACAACAGAACAATTAATTCACAGGCAGGGATGAGCAATCAGTTAGATCACAGACCTATGGCGGCATCCATAAATGTGGGAATGAAAGGCGAATCGAAAGATACGAGCTGCCGCTTTGTTTCCGCCAAGCCTTTGTTTTGAGGAGTCGATCCCTTCGCCCTCCCGCGGATGCTTGACTCACAGGAAGTTCTCCCCTGCTTTCTTCATCCATCCCTCGACGGCTCTGCCTCTGCCAGCCTTACCAGGCAGAGCAGACAGGAAACACGGCCAGATAAGCCAATTCTATCTTATGATAAAGTTGCATTAACAGAATTTTGCAAGTCTGAAAGTGCAATCCTCCCCACCGTCTCCTTTACAGCCCGAGAAACTAGGGAGGGTCCCTTCTGAGCCTCTTGCCCCACCCGCTATCCTGCTGTGGGCTATGCTCCCTCTTATCTGACCTTCCCTAGGCAGCGTCTCTTCGCCCTGCTCCCAAGGCCTTTCCCACATACCATTACAGCTGGCTGCTCAGCTGTGGGGAAGACGAGCCACGCTGAGGGGCAGGGGGGCCCCTCAGGCCAAGCACCACGTCTGATGGGTCTTCTGGCCCAGCCCAACGTGGATGTTCTTCTCTCTCCTGATGCCAAGTAGCTAAATCTCTCCTCTCTCTTTCTAAAAAAAAAAAAAGGATGTGACTGCCACGGCCCTGGATATGCCACCCCGTTGGACGCCATGAGAGGTAAGAAGGGCTGATCCTCTCCCCCTCTGGAGGGCAGGGCAGGGCAGGGCAGCTGAACTTGGGACCAGGCAGAGCCACAGAGGTGAGGGGTGGGTTTGCGTGTCACGTTAACCCACCTGGCTTGAACTGGGGTGTGTGGAAACCAGCTCAACGAGGAAGTTGAGCCATTTGGCGAGGGATGACCGATCAGGCAATGGGACCTTTGACCACAAAGCCACGCACTTCAACCCAACAGATCCAGGAAGTGAATCAGAGCACTGTGGGTCAGCCACTGTCGCACAGTGCACTTAACTGGCCCACGGCAAATCCAGTGGGTAATTCTGCACAGCCCGCCTGTCTTAGTTAGCGTTAATCTGATTAGGATTTGGGGTTAGGTGGAGCGCTGAAAAGCCAGGCCTCCAGTTAGTTTATCATTCAGCCCATGACACGGGTTAGTCCAGTAACCGAGTTTAACAGGATGGGCGAACGCAAGTCTTGCAAGTTCTAGCCCAGCCAGAACCAATTTAAGACTCAGACGCAGGGTGCTAAAATGTGGTTTTTTCCCCCCAAGGACCGCGAGAGGAGCTGATCTACGTGCCTTGCATCCTAACCGGCACAGGGACCCAGAAGCCCGACTATCTGGCCACCGTGGATGTTGACCCCGAATCTCCCACCTATTGCCAAGTACGACAGTTCTTGGGGAAGATGTTGTGAACGCTCGTTCAGTTCCCTCTTCCCTGGCCTCTCTTTAACACCTTGCTATCCAACTCAGGGGCTGTGGGGTGGCAGTGGGGAAAGGCTGCATCAAACTCACGGTTGGCTTGAGCCACGGTTTCTGGAACAAGCCGACGGGTCCTGCTCACACCCCGTGCTAACCCAAAACCAACCAACCACGGTGCAGCGTAGTGTTCGGGGCGAACACCTGCAGCTTCTCTAAAGAGAAGGCCGTGTGCAGAGCTTGAACCGGGCTAGCCAAATAAAGGCTCCAGCTTCAAGCGCAGTCATCTGATTTCCAGCCGGAGAGAATTGCGTCTATCGTGCTTCTGATCTTCCCAAAGCCCCCTGGCCGCGTTGCTCCTGGAACGCTCTGAATAGAGATAAAACCTGACAGATGTTTCAGAAGAAAACTGGGAAGGTGAAGAAAAGCCGGTGGGGATGTTAGCTTTGGAGATTCCCATCGGCACCGAGACTCCCCCAGGACCTCCTCTGGAGGCCTCCCTTTCTGGCTTTCGGCCCTGATCCGTGGCTGCCTAGTTTTTATGGAGATGCTAATCAAGGCCTGCACTGCTGATCTCTCTTGGGCGTGATCCCACTCCCCACACGCCAGGAAGGACCCACCTCTGTATTTTAGGAGGAGGGGGCTGAATAAGCCATCAGCCTCCTCTCCTGTCCACTAATCCTAGATAGGCTGGCCTGGCTGGGCAAGGCCACGGGGCTTCCAAAAAGCGAGATGTGAGCTGGCTGCCCAAGCACAGAGCCAAGGACGGTCTCTCTGTGGGGCGGCTGATTTTTGCCCCACGCTTAAAAATAAAGAGGGAGGCTCCATTCCCCCCCACACACACACACACACAAAGAAACAGAATGCAAAGGACAGAGTGTAGAGGAACTGCTAGCGAAGGATGACGAAAGTCCTTTAAAGGTTGAATAAAGAACCTTTATGCCACCCTTAGCTGGCATGGCTAAGATGAGAACTGAAGCACTAGCCATTTCAAACTGAAGCCTAGAATCCTCCTCCCTGAACCGCTAGAGTTTGGTTTAAACACAGGCTGTTTCCTTACAATGCACAATAATTACCCATAATAATAATGAGGATAATAATAATGATAATAATAATAATAATACGCTCCCGTTTACAGCCATAAAACAGGCTCTTCGAAGTGCAAAACGGCAGAATAACTAATATTTACCCACAGCGTTCAGACACATCGTCAATTTCCAAGACACTTTTTACTAATGACTAGAACAACAAAATCAAACGCTGGGAATAATTAACCGAAATCAAATTAAGGGAGTCCTTTGTTCTAGGCCCAGCAAAGCTCAGCAGCTCCCGGCTTCTGGGCTGTTTCGAGTCTTTCTGTCTACGCGTTTGCCTGCGTCTAATGATTATCCCCGGGCAGATCTGTCTTTTTCATGTTCCTGTGTCAGCAGAGTCATAGCCTAGTTGCACATATGCACGGGCACCTTAACTGGATGTGCGGACGCTGGAACAATCATCTGAGGGTTGTGGGAAGCCTCGAGGCATGAGAGGGTCATTAGCCGGTACCGCAGACTGTGGTACCGTGCTGGGTCCTGCTCACGATCTGCAAAGCAAGCAGGAGATGCCGACTCTTGCATTCCCACAAGCGGGAGGGCACCTCCTTGCCCCAGCTCCTGATGCCAAGGGATGGGACGGTGGGGTGCTGTGGCATGGAGGGTCCCTCGGGTGTACAAAAGGCTGGGAAGGGAAAGAAGAGGGGGTGCGTTTTCAGGGACGCCCATCCCGTCGGTGAAGTTCTGCTTGTGGGTTGGGGGGGGGACCCTGCATTCGGTCCCCACCCGGAGCGGTCTCCCACGCAGCAGAAGCGGATCTTCCTGTGAACCCAATTCCTGATTCCGCCAGCGGGGTTCTGCGTCCAAAGAGACAGGCAAATCATGAACTCTCGGGAATCGGAGGGAGAAACCCAGCGCTGGGCGACGAGGTAAGTAATGCATCTTGAACCTCCACCACCCTGCTCTTTCCCCACCAGGTTATTCACCGGCTGCAAATGCCGTACATCGATGATGAGCTTCACCACACGGGCTGGAACGCTTGTAGCAGCTGCTTTGGGGACACCACAAAGAAACGCAACCGGCTGGTCGTTCCGTGCCTCAACTCTTCGCGGATTTACGTCGTGGACACCGGGACTGACCCGCGAGCTCCCAGCCTGTTTAAAGTAGGCCCACCCGCCCGCGGGGGGTGCAAGCCAGGGAAATGGGTTTAAAGGGAACCCCAAGGCCCCTGAGCTTTGAACATAGCGGTGCCATTGACCCCCTGACTGAGTCCCTTGCCTTCGTTTCGCCCTTGACCGCTTTATACGAGATCCGAGCCAAAACCCATTTCCGCAGACACCCCGCCCGGGTGGGAACCAACAACCCCCCGTGTTTCGCTGACTGCAGATGGGCTCTGGAGTTTTTAGACAAAAGCATTTTGCAGAGGTGCAAAGAAGGGAAACAGAACTACAGTGCGAGTTTTTTTTGTCCCCTCTCTCCCCGTCCCCAACTCTGACAGGTGATTGAACCCAGAGAGGTCTTCTGTAATACCAACCAGACTGTATTACACACCTCGCACTGCCTGGGCAGCGGAGAAGTCATGATCAGTGCCTTGGGGGACATGTATGGCAACGGAAAAGGTACCGCTGGGCAGATTTTCCTCCAGAAAGGGGGCCCGGGATGAGATGGACCTGTAAGGGCAGCTGTGACTTGGAAGATGTTGTTGGGAGGGAAACCTTTTGGACGAATGAGATTTTCGCCACTCTGGAAATCTGGAGCCCCAGGCTCTCTTCCAGGGAGTCGGGATCTCTTGGCACCTCTGAGTGGGGCAAACTCCTTTCGGCCACACCCTCCCCGGGAGTCGCCCGCACCTACTGGAATTGATTTGCATTCTCCCACCCACCCCAAACCGCAGGCGGATTTGTTCTTGTGGACGCGGAAACGTGGGAAGTGAAGGGCACCTGGAACCGCCCCGGGGATGAGGCTCCGCAAGGCTACGACTTCTGGTACCAACCGAGGCACAACGTCCTGGTCAGCACCGAATGGGGAGACCCCAAATTCTTTGTGAACGGGTTCAACCCAGAAGATCTGAAGAAAGGTGAGACGCCGGAGCACCACGTGCGCTTAAGGCTCTCTGGCACCCACAATCCGGGGGCTGGACTCCAACCTAAGGAGTGGTCCGAGACTCCTTGAGGAAGGAGGGCACAGAGGCTTCAGGCCAAGAAACTGAGGGGGTGCTGGTGGCCATCTAGCCCAACCCTCTAGCACTTCCCCAAGAGATGGCAACTCAGCTTCTGCTTGGAGGTCTCCAGCATGAGAAAGCCCACCCCCCTGCTGGGGAACCACTTAGCGAAGCCCACTTCAGCACCCTCTAGCAGGACGCACTGCTACTCACCAAAGCAAGCTGAGATGATTCTTCTCCGTTCCTCCGCAGGGCGCTACGGCCGCCGCCTGAATGTGTGGGACTGGACCACCCACTGCCTCGTCCAGTCCATCGACGTGGGGGAGGATGCTGCGCCCCTGGAGATCCGCTTCCTGCATAACCCAGACGCCCCGCACGCGCTGGTGGGCTGCGTGCTCGAGAGCTCCCTACACCATCTTTTCAAGACGGAGGTGAAAACAAACAGAATTTCTTTCTCCTTTCCCCCATCTTTCCATCCCAGAGAACTGGAGTCCGAGGCATCAGCTTAGAATAACATCCAGAACAAATGGGTAAAATGCACCATTCAAAACAGAACGTAGTAATCTGTATACTATTATCATAACGATATGGAAATCGTGACGAACAGGAACCTGAACGCAGAATTGCAACGTCAGAACGACACCCTGGGAGATTTGGGGAGGGAGGGGGGGGTCACCCTAAGGCAGCTGGCAACACTGCTCCATTCATCGTAATTCTATGGTAGAGAAGCCATGTTAGTTTCTGCTGAGGGCAAAAGAAGCTGAGAGGCCAGGTGCCCGCCAGAGATTGGAAAGAATTGGAGCATAATTGGGATAACAGTCAGTATTTGCAAACCGTAGAAATACTTAAGATCTCACTGGGAGCAGGACTTCAAATTAGGAGGCAGAGGTGATAGGAAGCGGAGTGGCGGGTGGAAATTGGTTTGCACGGGAGAACTTTGCACGCCCCAACCAACCAGCCTCACATCTCTCTTGCAGGATGGGACGTGGGCCGCGGAGAAGGTGGTCCAGATTCCGAACAAGGTGGTCACCGGGTGGTATTTCCCCGAAATGCCATGTGAGTAAATCAAGTTCAGGGGGGCTTTCGTCCTCACATTTACATCTCAACCCTCCACCTTTGGAGCTTGCACCTTCCGTCCCCAAATTAAGCACTTTAAGCATCTTTGGAGAACGGGCCGAGTGCCCTCACGGCTGAGGGAGAGAGAGAGAGAGACCTGCGCATTTCGGGGAGAAACCGGTTCTTGAAAAACGTCGTACGCCGGGGAATGAAGGCAATCTAATCTCTTTCCTGACCTTGTTCTGGGCATCTTTTCCTCCAGCGTTCCTCACGGACATCGTCATTTCGCTGGACGACCGTTTCATCTACCTGAGCAACTGGCTTCACGGTGACATCCGACAGTACGACATCACTGACCCCCACTGCCCTCGGCTGACGGGCCAGGTGAGCTCCCTCCCACCCAGAGGCCCTGCAACCATGGTTCCCTGCTTGGGGGCTTTCCAGAAATTCCCTCGTTCCACCGTTGGAACCAGGATGCTGGGTGAAGCGGAAAGCCAACGCGGCCTCATCTGGACAGGCCAACTGGCACATGCCAGAAGAACCCCCATGTTCAGAGGGAGTCCACCTCCCAATACCCCAGTCTGGGCAGAGAAAGACTGCAGCTCGGGGAGGGGGAGACTGCCCTCCCGCATGAAGGTTTGGGAAGGCAATTCTCATCAGGAGACCTCATCAATCGAGCTTGCAAACTAGCTAACCCAAGCCACGGCTCAGCGTTGCAAAGCTGTTTGCTCTGCGGCTCCGTCATCCCTTCCTTTGGGCCCTGCAGGTGTTCGTAGGAGGCAACATCTACAAAGGCGGGGTGGTGACCGTGATTAAGGACGAAGAGCTCGACTGCCAGCCAGATCCCTTCATGATCCAGGTGAGCCTCTCTTCTCCGAGAGGGGACCCCAGCTTTGAGACGCCTGCGGGAAACGTGCCCAGGACTAATTCTCAACGGACAGTGTGGCTTTTTCCTCCTCTGTGGGACCCCTTGAAACGCCGGAAATGATTTCCTTCCGGCAGATTGCATTTAGACGAAGGAGCCGTGTATAATCCTCCTTGGACCTTCTACGTTTCTCAATCCCCACCCCCCGCCGCCTTTTTTCACCTTAGGGAAAGAGAGTCTATGGGGGACCCCAAATGCTGCAGCTCAGCTTGGACGGAAAAAGGCTTTACGTCACCACCAGTCTGTACACGCCGTGGGACAAGCAGTTTTACCCACAACTTGTCAGGTACGAAGCTTCTTGACAGACAAAGAACACCCAGACCAAATTTGCAGGGTGGGGCTGATGGCTCTCCTCCTCCTCTTCCACCTTCTCCTTGCGTTACGCTCCAAATCAACCCCCTACCTACTTTCTATCACTCTGCCACTGTTGCTCCATTCATACTGGAGTTTCGGACAGTTTCCCCATCTAGAGTTCCCTAATCAGCTCCTCAAACATTACTGAGGCCCGGACAAAGAAACAAAAGGCCGTTTTTCCCTCCCCAACCCGACACTCTGGCAGCCTCCCTTGCTCAGATAACCTTCCTTTCTGCCCCTGAATTCTTCCTTCCTTTGCAGGGAGGGGTCAGTCATGCTGCAGATCGACGTGGACACGGAGAACGGGGGCCTCTGCGTGAACCCAGACTTCCTGGTGGATTTTGGGAAGGAGCCGTGGGGTCCCGCTCGTGCCCACGAAATGCGCTACCCGGGAGGAGACTCTACCTCGGACATCTGGGTCTGAGATGCTCCCCCAAGCCCACCCCACTGCTAAGCTAGCATTTAGGGGGCAGGAAGCGGTGGGGGGTGCCACTCAAGACCAAAGTGTTGGTTTGTAGTTTAATGCGCTGTACAGATGTCACTTAATCAGCGTGCTAAGTCGGGAAAGAATAAGCTTGCTCGCTCTTCCTTCCGTCAGCACCCGTACACGGAGCTAAGGGACGCACTGGTTTCTTCGCCCCTCTTCCCTCCTTGCTTACCTGCAGCTAAGAGCTCAGCTCTGTTCAGGGGAAGTTCCTCTAGACTTCATTGTCCAGGTGCAAACTTCAGCCTTGGGTTTATTATGCCTTCCGAGCCACTTTGCTTAGGCCGCTACTGCTTTTTGCAAGTCAGTCTTCCGACGCGACTCTTGCAAATCATCGAGGAGCAGATGTTTTAAACCCCTCCCGGCCGTTCTAGGAGGATGCAAATAGAGAAATTAAGGTTGTCACTGTAATAAAAAAGCTTTTTGTAATACAGACTCTTGGGGATAACCTTTATTTCACGATGAGAGTGCCCACCGGCTGGCCACCGTGGCCCCCAACACAGAAATTGAATTCAAATCTTCTACTTGCAAAGTCCTAGGTGGTATTATGTGGGTAAATTCACAGCCGTCACATGAAAAATACGCTACGGTGCTTCAGGACAGATCTACCGTAGCCTCAACTTTGCAGAAGAGCATCTGCAGACTTCATCCACAGCTGTGCAGAAAGCTGAGCAGGAGCCCAAGGAATGTCCAGAACAGCAGCAAATGAGGTTAAAACAATCCGTCCAACTTTGCTGCTGTTAACCGCACGGTTCTGCGAAAGGACCAAGAGGCCACCCGCGACTCCATTCAAGAAATGCAAACCAACCTCTGGATGGGTTGCAATTTAGGCAGGAACCTCCCCTGAAAGAGCATTTTTATGGAATTCCAAAAGCAGGCCCGGGGCCTTTAAATACCTTCATTGTCCGACGTTTTGTAAGGCGCTTGGCTTTTCAAAAACATCAGCTCCTCAATAGCCGGGAAAGCGGAGATCTTCTCAATGGGAGAAGATGGTTTTAGGAAACGCCTGAGGAATCTCTTCTTTCATGGAAAGAGAGGCGTCAACATTTGCAGATAAAAGGACTTTCCTCCAGTTATATGGAAAGTAAGGCTCCTATTATAACCCAGTCCTGCCCAGAAGCCACCTTCAGGGTTAGAAATCCCACTATGTGCGCTGAACAACTCACCCGGGAAAGAATCTCTTGATCACACCCAACTTTCTTTCCTGGAATGGTCACTGTCAATAGGTAATTACCTCGGTCTTCACCTCCCACATTTAATTTCCTTCTGACCTCACTACTGACTTATTTCATAACCCTCCATCCGGAGCACATGCCGGAGGTCTGATGAGGTGAGATGAAATTCATCACTTCTTGTTGTTATGGCCCTTCAAGTCAGATCTGACTCCTGGGGATTGCAGGAACAAGTCTATGTATTTTTCTCGCAATGCGTTTTCAAAGCCAGCGCCTTCTTCCCGGGGCCGAGAGGGAGGGACTGTCTCAAAGCTGCCCAGCTTGGCTTTTATGCCTAAAACCCGGTTAAAACTTATGGTCTTCCCGGCTTCCAGTCCAGCACCTTTAACCCTTATAACGAACAGGCTCTCCATCCATAACTCGGGCCATAATAAATGTTAGTCGGAGTTACCACCGTGATTAAGGCAGCCCACGGTTGATTAAATCAAGAAAAGGATGACAAAACTCTTTTCTTCCATTTCCCCAAAATTGTTCGCTCTACAGTTTGGGGGAGCAACCTATAGGGTTAAATACTTAACACCGGTTCTGCGTTGGGCACAAACGTTTTGGGGCTGCCCCTGAAAAACCAGACTTTATCCTGCCTTCCTGGGAGGGGAGTAACTTCCTCTTGCCATGTCTGGACGAGCTCTCCATGAAGGCACCCCCCGGCCACGGCTCCGGGGGTCTTCACCTCCTCGATCTCGGCACCCACGTCTCATTCTGGGGCTCCTGGGAAGGACCCTTGGCAGAGGGGTTGCGGGAGACCCCAAATCGTGGGGAAACCCACGAGAAACCTGCAGGAAGGGGGGGGAATAAAAAATAAATATCCGAGAAACTATAGCAAGGGGAGGAGCGCCCTCTGCTGCCCCCCACGAGAGGGGCTTCCCTGCAAAGGGGGGGGGCTAAAACTGAACCCACAGGAAACTCTCCGTAGGAGAGAAACAGACCAAGTTTAAGTTTGGGAACCGGCCGGGGGAGAATTTGGCCCTCCTGCTTCCTCGGCTGGTTAAACTCCTTTTTGGGTGGAGGAGGAGCCCGAATCTTCCAGCGCTGGGGAGCCATTTAAAGCCCACTGGAAGCCCCCGTCGTTTTATTGCAACTAGCCATGATTGGGGACTGCGTGTGACACCCCTGGATGATGGGAGGTGTGGTCCCAGCCCGTCCAGAAAGACCACAATTCCTTGGCTTCAAGCCAAGCAGGTGTTGCCCCCCCCCCAAAAAAACCCTTTCTGCAAAACCCCGGCAGAGAGGAATAACCAGCTTTAATTCCCGGTGGATCAGCCCAGTCTATCTGAAGCAAGGAGGGCCTCTCTCTCGCCCCCCTCCCTCTTCCTGGTCAGCTTCTAAACTGACAGAGTCCCTACCAATCCCTGCCGTGTTGCTAGGCAGACTTCCCAGCCCCTCCAACCAATCAGGGGCCGCGCCCGGGCTGTATCCGGGTGGAAAACCAGGAGGCAGCCATTTGCATTACAGAACAGGCCAGTATCCAGGCAGAACTGAACTGGGCCGACCAATCAGGGAAAAAGAAAACCCTAATCTTCCTCCCGCCCGGGCAGTACTTTCTTTTTCTGTTTTATTTTGAGACCGAAAGTGCTAATATGCCTGGCAACGCATAAATGCGGTCGGGATTTTGCTGCTCGCCGTCCCGGGGATTTGCACCCCGGATCCAGCACGAGCCAACGGGGGAACCCACCAACTCTTTGGAAGCTCGAAGTCCATTTTCAGAGGCTCTTCTTCTCTTCTTTTCTCCTCCTTTCCCGGGATAGCAAATGCTCCTGTCTTTTTTTGCAATTTAATCCAGCTGCCTGAGAAGAGCAGCCCGTTACAGGCCGAGGAATTGCAGCCTTGGGAGGGGGCAGGTAAGTGACCTCCAGCTGACCAAGTGCTGATTTTCTTTGCAAACCTCTCCAGGGGACCCAGCAAAGAGCAGCCTCGTTCCGGAAAGAGACAAAGAGGGAGGAAATGAAACTAAAAGCAGTAAAAAAAATAATAAAAACGGGTCCAAACAGCTTGGGACTGAGAATAAGGACCACCGGGGAGCCCATGGGTGGGCTTCAAAGCAGAACCAGAAGAAGGGAAGCCGCTTCTTTCGAAAGGGGGGACTTAAAAAAAAATAAAACCCATCGAGGGAAGGAACAGCAATTTCCGATTTCAAGAGGTGCAATTTGACGCCCGCCATCCAGGGCCGCCGCAGGGTTTTTTCCTCCTGCAATTTGAATTTCCCTCTTCCTGGAGGCCCATTCCCACCCAAGCTGCGGCGGCCAAGGGCTTCCAGGGGTGCGCCAGCGAACCTGGAAGGAAGTGCCCGCTGCGCCCGAGGAGGGGTCTGCTCGGGCTCTGCACCCAGAAAATGCTTCTCCGGGCAAAGAAGGGCGGGGGAGGAAAGGCCAGCCTGGTTTCTTGGAGCCGCAGTGGCGGCTCAGCTGGCGAAGGGAGAGTCGATCGATCGCCCAGAGATGCCCCCGTGCCCGAGCGTGGGAAGCAGGCCCTTAAAATAAAAGCTCGTGGGCACAGCGGGGGGAAAACAAAGTTAAAAATAAACCACCTTTTCTGAACTTCTGCCCTATTTCTGCCAAGGTTCTTTCAGTGCCAGATACAGATAAAGGTCTCTGCCTCCCC